GACAATTTAGAATCACCAACTAACCTCAGTATGCTTTTGGACTGTGTGGGAGGAAGCCGAAGAACCTGGAGAGAACCCACGCTGCACGGGGAGAACATGCAGAACATGCAGAAAGATCCCAGTTGTCCTCACCAGGTTGCAAACCGGCGACCTTCTTACTGCAAGGCAGCGGTGCTAACCACCGAGCCACCTTGCAGTCCATATAAATAATCTGTAATTTATAATTTTATGACACACAGCTAGAAGCAGGACATTTAAAGCCTGTAACTCCTCTCTGACACACTCAGAAGCAGCACGTACATGAAGTGAGGATGAGATATTTCGTATTTCTCTTCTGACAGACAGAAGTGGACCACACCGATTGATTCATAAAAACTCTGCAGACGGTATCATTTAATGATTTATTGACATTTACTTTTTTCCACCATGGTTTCTCTTGATACCAATAGTATTTACCATAAAGTTTCTTTTTCATTTAAATTACATTTATAATGTTTTACTCACATACACATTTATTGTTTAATTTTCTTATTGCAATAAACAAGAGTAGCCAGAATGAGTCAGGTATTGCTACAATTCGCCATACAAACTCTTTTTCCCCTCTGATAATGAAGTTCAAAAATAACTTTATTGGCAAGACAAAAGTACACCATAGCCTCTCCATTTCTCTCTCTCTGCTCTGAGAGAGACTGAGGGCAAAATAAGGCTAAGGCTAGTAGCCTAAACACAGCTAACTTGAAACACCTGCCCAGAAAATAGGAATCTAACATTTATTTCCCAAATGTGAATAATGAGGATGACTCAATGGGAGTTACCACTTTATGAACATATCAAGGACAATATGAACATATCTGTGGTGCTACTTGACTGACCTACCAGGGACAACGTTGCAGTACTTTGGTTAGGTTGGGTTATTGATCAAGTCTCTGCTAGAATCCAGGATGATTGATCACGCTTCCCAAACCAAACCTGTGCAGGTTTTTGTCTCCATTATTGTGTTATAGGCCACTTTATAGCTCCAGGTTGCCTCTGTCTCTGATTGGTGGGAGGTGGGGGAGAGAGCAGATCCCAACACACACTAGAATACATATGGTACACACACCAACAGGAAGGAGAGCACGGATCCTGGAATAGCATCTCACTCACAAAATGAAATTGAAGGTTACGTTCAGCGACAAAAAAAAAAAAGAGCACAATGGTGGAAGCTGACGCCAAGCCAGCTTCTTCTTTAAGTAATGGCATTGATAACGTTCCTCAGGATTTTCACTTCGACACATTTCTCACACACAGAAAAAAAATAATAATAATGCAACTCTGTAAAACCAAATTAACAACAAAAATAAGCCTGTTGAACAGATCTAGCTTTAATCCCTTGATACCTGGTGTTGTACCCTGTTCCCCAAGCAGAGATTACCATAGTAAAAAGGCCCTTTAATATGAAGGGTCGGTCCCTATGCCCAGCTACACCTCCGTCTCTCTATATCCCTCTCGCAATCCCCTAAAGGACTTAACTCCTCGTGGAAGAACAGAAAAGTCTGTCAGCTGGCGTGCTCCCAGTTTACACATGACTCCAGACAATATGTCACAACATGTCACAATGATAACAAGTCACTCTGATAAAAATTGCTCATTGCATTGCAATATTCAGACAAAGGTAAGACATTAGAGCTCATTGCTTCTCAATGAAAGGGCACAGTGTACATCTCGTTCAGAAAAGGGTTTTAGTTTCAAGCTGTCAGGCAAGATAGGTCTGCTGCTGCTTAGCTAGCTTTTGTGGCTCCCCACTGAGTCAGTTGTTTTGCCTGTTTATCAGTCTGCCTAAGTCACTTATATAATCCACAGTCCCCTTTCTTCGCTCCCCCTTCATGGATGAAGTTATTACCATTTCCTACCTACAAAAATATTTTTTATTGTGTTTTCTGTTTTGCTTTTTTTTAATGTGTGATACAAACGCAAACCAACAGTCCGAACCAAACAAAACAAAGTGCTCACCAGTCTTTGTAAAAGAAAACAAATCATGGTGTGTTTCATGGCTTTCAGTTGTAAGACAGGAAGTATCGATAGATGCCTTGGGCTGGACGTCTTGGCTCCCGCTCCGGGCGGCTTCCCTACGCTTCTGGCTCGGTTGTCACTCCAGCTCAAGATCATTTCTCCAAGAATGTATTTGGCTTTCATCTTCCTCTATTTAATTTGTTCCCTTTCAGCATTATGGTCGCCAGTATCTTCCACAATAGACCCATATGAACCTTTGGATCTCGGGGAGGTGAGGAGGAGGAGGAGGAGGAGGAAGAGGAGGACAGGGCAGGAATGGAGGAGGTCAACCCAATGATGCAAAAGCTTGTCCCTGCAGGACCTTATTGTGAGGTTGCATGCAGAAACAACATAAATACATCAATACACAGGGTCACACCAAGGTCATAATCACCTACACAGTGAATCAGCCAGCGGATGACGACCAGGGAGATGTGAAGGTGCCAGTAACCTTTTTTGGCATCGTAATCTAAACAGAAGTCATGTCCAATTTCACCTGTGCTCTATACAGTGGAGTATATGTCATTACTGCATGTAAAAGCACAGAATTCATTCCATAAAAGGCGATCTAAGCTAAAAGATTGTGGGCTTATACTAAGCAGCAGTACAGTATGTACCAATGTGTGACTTCTGCTGCTTCTCCCATCCCCTCTCCCCTTTGGTAAGGCCCATGTCTGACTGTTATGCAGGTTGGCAGATGTGCCCCGTAGCAATTTTTTGCTGGTACAGTCTATTTTAAAACAGATTTGTTTGGGCTTGAGTGTGTGTCTGCATGCTGCCTGTGGTCAATCCGTCTGCTGACCCGTGCCAGCCCTCCTCTCACCTCACCCTCTCAGGAAATGACAGGGGAGAGCAATCCCCCACAGTCACTTTTCTGTTCTCCTAACCCCCCCCAAAACCATCACCAGACGTGTTCAGATGTGGCTACCACCTGCCTGTCAGCCGAAGTCATGTTGTATCTAGCGAGGACCTAGTGTCACAAATTGAAGAGCTGCTGGCCTCCGGCGCGGTGCAGGCCGTGTACAGTACCGTGGAGGCCGCCACAGCTACATGTGGCGCACGCAGCAAAGACCGATGAAAGCAGCTACCCTACTGACATAACATTATTGTCTTGGTTTTTGAGGTGCATAGGATGAGAAGAGCATGTTGAGCCACGATGACAGGAGAAAAAAAAAAAACAACCTGGCCCACGATAATTATGTAACACTACATGTGGCTTAATGTTTCTAGAAAGATCTGTATGTGTTTCTTCTGTTGCTATTGAGGCGGCCGTGACCGTGGGCCACAGTGCAAGGGACCAGGGGAGGTGAGAAATGTACAAGGGAGTTCAATGCATAATGAAAATCTCTCCTCTGCTCATTCCATCTGCAGAAGTCTTAAAATGGAGGGAGAGTGAATGGAGAGTTTCAGGTAAAGGGAAAAAGAGAGACTCCTTTCCGCCATTCCTTTCCCTTGCTATTCTCTCAGTCAGATATTTAAATGATTGGATCCCCCCCCCCCTTTATCAATTGCTGTTTGTTGATCGTGTTTGTAGCTTCACAGTGTGCTTTTTGGAGTGGATGCTTCTGACTGGATGAAGTCAGAGGGTGATGTGTCAGTAGGGAGAGAAGAGGATTGGCCCGTGGGTGGTGCGGATCGGCCCGGGGGCGGGTCTCAGGATGGCGTGGCTGAGAGGCGGGCCTTGCAAGAGGTGATGGTGTGGGTGAGGCGCAGGAGCAGCTGCACGGAGAGCCAGCGGGTTCGAGGACGCCGCAGCGGCCATTGCTGCGGCAACAGCCAAGGGGTTGGGCAGGAGCCCTGCACCCAAAGCTTTGGTGAGATCCTTGGAAAAGGTCAAAGAAGACTGAAAGCACAAGAGAGAAGAGCAGGAGGGAGGGAGAGAGAGGTTTCAAATGATTAGTTCCAGAAGGTCAAAACATGCAGGAGAAACAGATATAGACACTTATAACCTGTCATAATACTGAGGGTTCAGTTCAGTCGCTTTAAATTTTTCAGGAGGAGGACGCGGCCAAAAACAAAGCTAAGGTATTGTGAGGATCAAGTCACACGTGCTCCAACTACAAGGCCTCGCAGACGTCCTGTTCTCAAGTATCACTGTCTATCTGATCTGTGGATCTCAGGTTAACTAACTGTGTGACAGGAGCCAGAATCCACGAGTGAAAGGTTACCGTCAGATCAGCTCCCCTGTGCTTCTTGTGTCGGCTGAGGAGGGGGTTAGGCTTGCCTGCCATGCCGTCCCGGTGCCTTCGACTTGATATGTGCTGATAATGAAGAACACAGGAACAGAAATTATAAACATAAACACCAGAAATATACACGAAAAGGCAGAATTCCATACAAACTTTGGGTTAATTACATGTGACTGACTTGACATAAATTTAAAAACTGTAACGAATGTAAATTATAATGTGTTCTTTAATTAGTGGTAGAAAATGCTTGGTTTAGATTTTTATTTCCCAAGTCCATTATGTTGTATGTAATGTAATGCTACTTTACACTTATCGAATCCAGCTAATGCATAATATTTTGCATATTAATATGGCTACATATTCCTCCTACCTGTTTTAGTTGCAGTTCCGAGTTGACCCGCACATTGCAGATCTCACAGTGGAAGGTTCGTTCCTGAGTGTTGGGGTCCACTGGCCCCCCTCCCTGCTCTCCGCTGGGCTTCGGGCCCAGGCGAGGATATGCCTTGATGGGGCCCAGCCCGCTCCGTGCTTCCAGGATAGTTTTGTGTTTTGTACCTGCAGGCAAACAGACACACAGACACGCACAAGCAAAAGAACAGGTCAGCAATGCCATTAACCAAGATAAAATTACAAATTTAGAAGCTAATAGAATAGAATGAAATAATGCAGTGGAGATGAATCACTATTTATAACACATGAGTCATGCTGCTTCCACCTGTCTGAAGTAAAATGAGACTGGACAGCATTTCTCCGCAGCTCAAATTACTGCTGGAGAAACAATGACATTGACAAATGTCAGAGCATGACAGAAAACAATATGCACCACAGGCTTGATTCTCCGATAAACAACCATATACACGCACCATACAGAACAACCTGCTTATAGACGCTGTTGTACAGCTGAGACTTCACCACAAGATGGCAGCAGTCAGACAGCTGTGCAGTGGCTCATCTGGGAGATGAACTCGACTGTAATCTTTATAATAAGTGAGAGTAAAATAACTACATTGACTAAAGCACTGGATATAAATATTTCCATGTCATACCATGTTATATGTACGTATACTCCAATGTATTTCAGAGGGAAATACTGCACTTTCTACTCAGCTACATATATCTGACAGCTTTAATTACTTTCAAGATGGATATTTTAAACAACAGATAATTCAACAAGCTTTAAAAATGCAACCCTTTGGTAAAGATCAAAGCAGCGGTTTCCAACCCTTTTGGATTCTGACGTCTCACTAGAGCCACCTAGTGTAGTTGGGATCACATTTCATACGTCTACGAGTTGTTAGCAGCTCCACCAAACAGCGGTTTTAATCTTTAAACTTCTTAGTTTGTTTCTTTTCAGCAAATGTTCAAATGATCCGCTACCTCGCTGAATATCAAAGATTTGAGAAAAGTCAATCAACAGAAAACAGATTTGTGCTACAGAACTTGTTTTTCTTCTTTCCTCTCCCATTAATCATCTGACAAGCCCTCAGATTTATCTGCTGTGTCTGAATATAAAACTGCATGTAAAGTAGCTCATATTAGCTCCACCTGCAGCAGATACAACAGTAACATGCTGCTTACATACTAACAACACAGCATTAATCATCTATGGCTGTCAGAATATGTCAGTCAGAGGGACCAAACAAGTATTTTTATACTTGTTTCAGTACTTTCACCTGTAATGTAATATGCATACATTGCTCTTTTACATGTTTTTATATAAAGGATCGGAACACTTCTTCTACCACTTTTGATTTACAATGTTTGAATTAGTGGAGAGGGGAGGAAAAGGCCACACCATACGCACTGTGATATATTATATCCACCATATGTGCCAATATCAGTAATAATGTTGGATGGCTGAACCCCTAAACTTCACAATCAATAAAATAGACAGTAAATGTCAACGTTTGGAAATTTAAGGACGTGGTATTGTAGGATGCAGTTTTATCTGGTCTGTGCTGTAAGAGAATTGCACATTTTTTCCTGTTTCACTAGATATTTATATGATAACATTATTTTACATGCGTCTGTTTTGACATACTGGGAGCAAATAAAGATATCTAAATCTGATTGTGAATTAACTCTATGCTCTTGACATTGTCACGTCTGTGGTTAAGCAGCAATTCTTTAACGATTAATACTGCTGAGTAGTTAAACAGGCCATGTTCCATTAGAGATGAGTGTATGACAGTAGACACAAAACAAAAGCACAACAGATTTGTTTTCTTAGGTATAAAACAATGCAAAACTACATCGCGTATACACATGAACTCAGGGGTCTTTTGATTCCCCATGACCTCACCCAATTATTAATCCAGTCACAATTCCAAAAAGAGTTAAAACCCTAATTCTTCTGAGCCTAATTTCCGTGTACAGTATTTTCCATATATATCTTGGCACCTCTCCAAGCACCATATGGCTGCATTTGCATGAAGAAAAGTGTCCTTGCATCTGCATATTATTAGGGGGGGTGTCGGAATAGCTTCTCATTAAATAGTTTGTTCTAGGTTTAAAATTAAAATAAATAAATAAAAAAATCCCCCTCCCCCCACCTCACTTTACTGCTGTGCCGCTTTACATTCAAAGAAAAAAAAAAAAAAAAAGCATGCCACCATCATTGGCTCTGACTTTCAGATACGAATTTGAGTCACTCTCTGAAATCCCTTTGAAGAGAGGTAAGGTTACAGAAGAGCGAGGAATCATAGGGGTGGGGGACATGTAGGCTGCGGGCTGCACTGGGGAGAAAGGGGCTAGAATGACAGGTTTTGCTTGTGGCCAAAAATGTGCTCTTGGGTGTCTGTTTTTTTGCCTTTGTTCTATTTCGGTCTGACAATGGATGGCCCAGTGGATTTTGTGTCTTTGTAAGGTTGACTCACAGTGTAAACCCACACACAAGCAGACAACATACAGCCGAGAACACAAAAACAGGGAATGGGTTGACAGGAAACTGTTGTGTAAATGTTTAAATTACATTACATCATTTTCTTTCCCCTCTCCTTTTTCTTTTCCTTTTTTTTTTTCTCCCCCTGCAGTTTATTCTTTGCCACGCACACTGCTCACGTCTCGGTTTCTGCGTGACATATGCTTTTATTTTTGAACCATGCTAATATGCACAGTTTTGATTTTCAGAATGAGCGAGGGGGTGATTGCTTCCAGATTGTTTTCCTCGTCGAGTTTCAGCTGTTTCAACTTTTTAGTCATCCAGGGGTTGAACTCTGGAACTGACAGCAGGCTGTGACCCGGGCTCGTGTTTAGACGCTGTAATATATTGTCTGCGATCTTGCTCTTTTATATGTACACGTGCATGTACATTGTAAGTAGTGTGCTGGCGGGCAGATGTAACACAAATCTGTTTGTGTGTCATTGTAACACTGATAAACCATTAATCAAAGCATGAAAACACATGATTGTTAAAAGCCTTGCAGAGGTTAATCCAGCCACAATGGTGACAGTGATTGCACTTTTATTGATTAAGACTTCATCTAACATTAAGAGGTATTTGCTGGCTGCTTTCATGTCTGGCTGAGTTGGCTTGAGCTAACATCACTCAAGGCAATTGGGATACAGTTACACTGATATGGAGTCAGTCCTTCTCTGTGTCTCTGTCTGTACTTTTCTTGACTTTCTTTAAGATAAGTCATACTTCAAACTGCCAAAAACAGAGCCAGCAGATGGAAACTGTCTCTGAGAGGTTAAGGTGGTCAGAGGGAAAGATTAAAAGAACCCAGAGGTTGTGTTATCATATGTGAAAGCTGCCTCACAGAATGTTCAAGCTGGTGAATTCACCCACATAACAGCCATTTTTTTTCTGTTATTCCCCCCCATTTAAATCCCTCATGCAGCGCTTGCACGCCTTAACCGTCCTCCTCTGCAATTTTTTCAAACAGAAGGCTTCGGGGCATGGGAAACATTTCTCATTGCTGTGTGCTGCGAATGACAAGACAAATCATGAATCTTTGAGTGGGTGAGAGTTTTTCTTTAAAGCAATTATGTTCTTGTGCAAGAAAAGAAAAGTGGGTGCAGGCGTGGGTGTGTTCGCGGTTCGAGAGAGTGGACACACGCGAGCGAGGCGCATCGACGGAGCTCTTGAAACCAGGAGATCAGTGCACGGTTACAGAGGTCAAGCATGTCAGTGTCAAACAGATCATTTATCTGCTGATCAGTGTTTCTCTTTGTGCCCTCGACTGAGTCACGCTCCTACAAGGGGGTGTTTTCAATCAAAGTCAGGAGACGGGTGCGCTTACAGTGAATGTAGTTAGTCTTGATAATATGCACAGTTTATGTACACAGAAATCTACGTATATGTGTATGTCTGTACAACTGATAGGATGTCACACATAGCCGCCAACTTCAATAAAGTTTTAAGCACTTGCTGTTGTAATATTTGTCAGATATTATGATAATGTCTTAAAGTATGATCAGTTATCCACCTAAATGTTTTAAATTTGTATTTAGAGAAGTTATTGCACAAATTCCTACACATTAGCAATGGCATGTGTTATTACATAATAAGCTAATGATACAAAAGCTTCAGTTATTACAGTAATATGCAACATTATTTATGCTGCTGTATTTAGTTTTTTTTTATGGCAAAAACTGAATTATTCCAAATCAAAACCAGAGCACCAAAGCAGAGTTATAAAATGGAGTTTCAATAAATGTCTTCTCTTGAATTGACTTCTTTT